TTTTGAAAGTAGTGTCGTTGAAATCAAGACTCAACTTAGCTTACGATATAAGATGAAAGATTTAGGTAGAGTCCTTAGCTTACGATACAATCGAAAGAATTTAGTTAGTCTTTTGGTATCTTGGGATCAACATTGTGCATATCAATACAAGCGGAATATTTATGCATCAAACCAGCTACACTACGGATTTACTCAGCAAGTGCAACTAGTATGCATCACTTATTGAATCAATTTCGCTTCCGATTGAACTTTTTGAACCAAATACAAATACGCCACCAAAACGACACTTGTTGACACCTCAACATATTGTCACTTGGTCGGGAAGCTCATTTTTCTCTGTCATACTTGTCCTCATATTTTGGGTTCTGTTGAGCTTTTTAGTCGATTTATTCATAAACTTCATTGGAATGCAATTCAACACATACTACAATACATCAACATCTCCTATGACAGTCTTAACTTTGTTCTTGCTTTACAAAAAGTAAGAACCGGATACCCAAGACTATACTGATGCATAGTAACTTAGTTGTCACAATACTCGTTGATTCATTGGAGCTTATATTTTTAACTTGCAAACAAACTCGTATCTTGATCATCCAAGCAACAGTTCACAGTTTTCAATAGCAGAATTGAAGCTGAATACAAGGCGTTGTCAAAAGAGATCAAAGAGGCTGTGTATCTCAAGCAGTTAATACAAGGATTGGGAATTTTTTGTTCTCTGAAGATTCAACTTTCTTGCTTGATTCTATCATAATTCACGATCTCGGGGATGCAACGACACCGCCCATGGCAGATTTGCTACTATTTTGTGACAACTAGAGTGCTATTAAGCTATCAAATAGCCCTATGCCAAGACCAAGCACGTCAAAGTCAAACACCATTTCAAGGGGTAAAGGGTGCTAGAGGGGCAAATTGATCTCAAGTATATTCACACTAATAAAAAACCCGCAAAGTTGTCAGTGTTTCGTTTAGGTGTATTTTCAGAATGCCACATGTGGCGTTTTGCCCCAGCTTTACTAATATTGAAACTGCCGCGCTATGGCGGTTGGATACTCATTTATTTTTTCAATTCAGCCACATGTGACGTTTTGGTCACATTGCATTAAAAATCTACCGTCACGGTTTAGGGTGGGTTTAGGGTTTTAGACCCTAAACCCAAAGTGCCATGTACCCCAAAAATAGCACAGATTACAATTATGTACCATCTAGCATCTTCTCTAGCATTCAAATACGATGCAAATCCACCCTAGGCACATGCAAACTTGCTTGGCTAGTGAAAGCATCTTCTCTAGCATTCAAATACGATGCAAATCCACCAATGGCATAGGCAAACTTGCTTGGCCAGTGAAAGAATTACGATCGAGCGTTCTGAACTAATGGCTAAATTTCACAAACAGACCAACTTGCGTAGCTTTCACCAACAAGTAATCGGGATACTTGCTGAACCAACCAAGAAGAAACGTAAGGAAATCCTGCGCTGCATGCGGAAATTTCACGATACACTAGCTCAATGCATGTCACGACGTCAAGATTTTTTGATGTCTAGGTTTTCATGTCAAGATCTAAGCTCCGATCATTTTCTAATTCCGATCGAGTTGTAGTTTGTTTGTAGCTCCTTGACTCATCCAAATCAGAAAGTGATGAACGAGCAGAAAGGAGAAAACTATATCAGGTACAATTCTTCCACAGAGCAACGATGAATGCACCCATTGTTTAAAATGAAGTGGCAGGATGTGGCTCATTCTAATCGGATCTTGGGCATGTTTCATACACACTCACATCGTCACTACGGATCAAGTCACTCGTCTCCTCTATTGCAAGCCAAGCAAGACCACATCTTGCAAACTTTTTCTCGAGCCGAAGGACATAGTATGATTAGCGTGGCGGCCTTAACATGATTAGGGTGGACAAAAAAATCAAAAGTTCGTAACACATTCGGCTATAACTGAGGTGGCGGCAGCCTGTGGTTGCAATTAATTTGGTTGTTGCAGCAATGGCCGCAGCCTTTGGCCGAGTTAATTTTGCTACCGCCACGTGGTGGCGGCAGCCTTCACTTGAAATACTAACTTGCGGCGGGCGAGAGACATCATAATTATTTAGAAATCGCCATAATTTGATCTTATTTAATTAGAAACCGCCACGTTGGCGGTTAACCGCCACTAAACGAAACTCTGAAAGTTGCTCACAAAGTTCCTACCGAGACACAAATATGAAAAGCATAGGAAATTTATTACAGTTTGCTGGTTATCTGACATTCACACAGTCTCTCAATAAGATTAGAATCCAATTATGCTGAGTTACAATTCCGTCATTAGGAGCCACATATTTCCATTGGGTTGCTACTACGAGGTCATAGTCCCTTTAGTGCAATACATCCCCTTTAGTTTCGGTCCAAATTTGATGTTCAATTTAGTGCAATACATCCTCTTTAGTTCCGGTTCAAATTTGATGTTCGATGATGTACCTTAGCCGAGACCTGCATCACACCTAAAAATCATACCCGAACCCGATTCATGCCCATGGATTGTGCGCTTGTGGTACCCATACCCGACCCACATATGGTACCCATACCCGATCCACAACCGAAGAGACAAACCCGATAACCAACCCGTATCCAAGTCACATTCGAGATGATACCCGACTTGGATCTGAATAGATAAGAAAAGTCGGTGGAACCGTAACATGGAAAAATCCATCACTTTTTTATGTGCATTGAGCAAGTAGTCTAGAAATCCTCAGCGACCAATTTATTGAGTTTTACTAATAATATATTTTTAAACCTAACACTCTCGAAACCATCGTACTAAAAGTCCAACCCGGACCCCAACCAAACCGTTCCTAGCTTGGTCCAAACCCGATACATACCCATCGGTTCGGGTTTCAGGTATGGGTACCCGATGCAGTTCTCTATACGTTAGTATAAATTGCTAGTATCCAATGTGTTGCCATTAGAATTTTGTGGTACTATCCTCGAGAGCGGATGTTGTTAGTTTATAGTTACCGAGTGCAATATACTAACCAGATTATGATGATATGTGTTGTGTTCAGGGGTGGATAAAACCATTAAATCATGGTGAAATCCATATGGTTGATGGTTTAATGTACTAAAACCAGATTTCGGGATGGTTAAATTATTGACACGTGGCCTAGCATGCAATAACTTCATCGATCATTGCCTCTCTGTATTCACTCTATATTTTCGGACGAATTCTGTACTCTGTATATTTTCGGACGAATTTGTTACATCATGAAATCCGACCACGTCATTAAATGTCATTAAACTATATTTATGCGATTTGAGAATAATCGGGTGAAACACTTAAACCACACCAAATTTCACCACTCCGTGCCAGCCGTGGTTGTGTTATAATTCTTTGTCTTCTTACCTTTTTTTCTAGTATGTTATATGTACACTCCATCAACTTGATCATCCAAATCTACTAGTTAAAGTATCCTACTCTCACTAACAATAGTAGCAATAGACTAAACCAACAATAAAGCCGCAGCAAAAAAATGTGTGGATTGAAGAAGCTATGGAGGCTTGACATGTCACTCTTGTGATTACAAAAGAAAAGTGGCATAGCAGATTCGCTTGCCAATTCTACAGCTCAAAAGCTTTTGGATGTTCTTTAGGAATAGAAACATGAATTGAATGACCAAATTCTCTTTAAGAAGTTTGTGTTGCATGTAGATGAAACAAAATGCTCACAAACAACCGCGTACACACGATCATTTGATTGCGAGTCCCATTTGTTACATAACAACATAACGTGTTAATATGCTGAAATCTTCATCGCGGAGACAATATGTACATGCGATTTTATTGACTGAACAATTAGCATCATCATACCATGAAACTCCACAACCACATTCCTATATTTCACAGAAAATATTCCAGGAAATTCCTGTGACCCCAATTCTGATAGAATTAAATCGCCCTAGGCTTGGGACTCGGTCGCATTCTGTACAGAACCCTCGCGGAGAGCTTTCTTCAAACACTTTCCAGAGTATGAAGTTGATATGAACATTTTTTCCACGATCAAATTGATCGAGCCGAGTGGGCGAATCCCATATTCTGGTGTGGAACAAAACGAGTCGTCACACGAAAAGCATCGAGGAAGGTAAGAGCAGTGGGGGTGTTGAAATGGAAGTGGCCGCCTCCATTTTCTTGCTCCACGAATCACAGCTAGAGCTGCTGTGGGTGTGTGATGCATGCATTGTGGTGCTCATCTCACTCCTCTAATCATGTCAGAGTCCCAGAGAGCGGCACTGCAAACGATGCAAGAGCACTCTCATGCAGAAACCCGGCACTGCGTGACATTGCACTGTTTCCTTTCTTTCTCCTCGTAAAGTTCTCTTATGTGGGATCGTCGTTCGTGCCTTCGGCCGGCCAGAGCGTAAGAATATCGATGCTGCAATGAAGAAGCTACCAAGGGCAAACTAGGATGGAACATTGCAACGAATTGGTGGAACGTGGAGCAAAGGGTCGAGTCAATCCGAGTCATCGTCGAGTCAGTAGACGACCGATCACGTCCCTAAACATAAATAAGAGCAAACAAACAATCCAAAGGAACAAATCGAGAAGGCAGTCGAGGAGTGAAGTGTGCAAAGGTGCGAGTCTCATCTCGGGTCCTCTCACATGATAGATCTTCTGATATCTAATCATTCGAGTAGGGAGGGCACCGGAGGATCTCATCGGTGAGCAAATGACTCATCCGGCTCGAGGAAGAAGAAACAAGCGAGACTGAGAGGGACGCAAGACTGAGAGGCTCGAGAATCTGAATCTGAAATCCAAAATCGTGAAGCCAGTTCCCATCTTCTGCAAGGTCAATTGTGAGTGTGTCGTGTGTGGGGTAATCTCGTGGACGAGCACCTTCCGACGTCACGTCCAGAAGTCAAGGCCAGAGGCTGGCCTCGTTCTTCGAGGCAGCTAAAGAGAGACCAGAATTCGACCAAGTGGATGAGAATGTGGCGAGCGCATCCAGCGGGGAAAGCATCTGTCGACAAAATCATTTACTTCTCATTGCAAGGGGCCAAATTAGATACGACCGACAACCACAACAAGAGAAAAGAAACGAAAAGAAAAAAAGTACTACTCGGGAGGACAGCATCTCGAACGGTGGCACGAAAGGTCGATACATCTGCGGGCTTCTCCCTCCCTCGCGTGATCTTCTTCTGCTCGTAATATCAATCTCTGTACAATCGACCTGCTGCTTGCCTGCCCCGCTACCGCTCCTGCTCTGCTCTAATCATGCTCCTGCTCTGCTCTCGTTCGATCTGCTCTGATTTGTTGTGCTGCGGTGACGAGAAAAGAGGAGGCGGAGGGTGAAAATGTGGATGATGGCGGGTGGAGGAGGGCAGGGGGTATTGGGGAGGAGGAGATCAGGCGTGGAGAGCAGCGAGGCTCTGATAGCCGGCTTCGAATTGGGAGGCGGGAGAGGGGGCGGGGAAGTGGATGGGCTCGTGGTGGCAGGCCTTGGTGGAGAAGTAGAAGAGGGCGTAGGAGGTGGAGCTCAGAGTGCGGAAGAAGGAGGCCGGGACGACGAGCAGCGAGCCCAGCAGCAGCTTTGAGGCGCCGTCGAGGCTCGAGAGCACGCAGACGGTGAAGGCGGCGCTAAGCACGAGGCCGGGGACGTCCTCGATCAGGAGCAAGCCCAGCGCGGTGGACCACTGGTTCTTGGCAAGCGCCAGGGCGCGGGCGAAGGCGTCGAGCGCCGTGACGCCCTCGAAGACCGTGACGCCGCAGGCCAGCTGCAGCGTCGTGTTGATGATGAAGAAGACGAAGGCGCCCAGCGCGACCGTCAGGACGAAGAACACCGGGACCGGCAGTATGAGCATGGACGCAAAGGTGGTTAGCACGTTGACCGCGACGAAGAGCGAGAGCCCCAGCGCGACGAAGAAGGCGTTCCCCCAGATGGCCGTCAGGAACAGGGGCCTCCATAAGCCCGGCAGGGCTTGGATCACCTGGCGGAACGTCACGCTCCTGCCCGAGTACATGCACCCGACGGTGAAGTAGACGGCAGCGTCGAGGTTGACGGCGAGCACTAGCCCCCCGACCCAGAGCGCGACGTAGATTAGCGCCACGAGCCACATGTCGGGCCACGGAGCCGGGGGCTGTGGCGGCTCAAGCACCAGCTTGTGGACGACCTCGTACACGAACCACTGCGTCACCAGCACCATGACCGTCGCCGGCACCACAATCACCATATGAATGCACGCGAACGTCGCGATGTGGTACGGGTCCTGCACCAGCTTCAGCGCCTCGCGCAGCAGATCGATCGGCCCCATGCCCTCGTCTTCCACGCCCTCCTCCCCTGCTCCACTCTCGCACCTCGTAAACCTCTCGACGTCCATTCTCTCTCTCTTTTTACGGACCGACTGAGAAAATCACTCCAATCCAATCCCAATTCGAACGAAGGATCGATCGAAGAAGAGGAAAGATTGACTTCTCCGACGTCGTTCGATGATGGAGCGAGATGATGTACAAGAAGGGGCAGAGAAGAGAAGAGAGGACGAGAGGCAGTGGCGATAGTGCCAGACCATCCAGCAGCCAGGAGGAGGAGGAGGGGGTGGGGCAAATGAGGATGAGGTTGAGTAACTGATGGATTGATGGACTGATTGATTGATTGATGGATCTATCGATCGATCGATCGATGGAGGCTGTACACGCGCATCAAGTACGACTACATGGGGGCTACAGAGGGGCTGGACTTGACAATCGAAAGCAGAGTCGAGTTGTTTATCAGAACCGGCTTGTCCGCCACTTCATGTCCATGGCATGCGAGCGGATCGTGACGTCATCGACAACAGTGCACGAGGGCACGACCATCCGATTTCGATGCGGCCCGGGATCCTCTGACTCGGAGTCGGTGATGAAGATCATGAGGCCATTCGATCCACAGCAGAGGATGGTTTCTGTTCGCTGTGCTAGTTACAGAAGTGGAGCAGTGGAGGCTCACAGTGCTCGAATCTGCTCAAGCCTGCTCGTCGTCATCACTCCTTTCCCACTTCGAAAGTCCACATTCCTGGAAGGCCGTGTGCTGCACTGTGTTCTATTGTGCAGCTGCTATTCACTGACCCGAATCCGAATCCGAGGCAGAGCAAGATCGAGCTGCCAGTGCGCCCTGAACTGCGTGGCCTGCCCACGAGAGCGTCCTTTCCACTCCCGGCCCCAATTTCATCCCACTGCTTCCTCGTTTCTCTGATTTCGCTACAGACTTGCAGTGCATACTCTTCGAAGATCGAGTTTCCAGCTATTTGCGAGAATGTAGATTTGTCCTCTTCGCCTTCCTCGGCGTGAAGTGAACGAAGCGAATCAAGTCCCGAGCCGTCGTGATGCGAGATTCTTTTATCTTCCAGTGCCGAACTTGCTGTATTTGGGATTGAGTCACAGCTGAAGAGCTGAAGAGCCAACTCAAGCTGTAAATCCAACCTCAGCAGTGACAGAATTGACAGGCAGGCTCGAAACTACAGCACCGCTCACACAAGAGTCAAAAGACTTATGCATTCCATATTTATGCATAAGTCTTTTGACCAGACCCTTGGTGCTGCTGCGCACTGCCCACGCAGCTCTATCTGATCGGATGGCGAACCTAACCTTCTCTTGCGATAGCTAATCTCGTTCCCCAGCCCGGCGAACGAACGCCTCACCCATTGCTGAATTCTGTCCTACGGTCCTTGCGGCTGTAGGTTTGATGATCAAACCACAAATGTATTTAGACGCTAATGAACTCGAATCCTGCAAGCTATTTCCGCTGAGAATCAAGAGGAGGGAGATTTCGGAAAGGCTTCTCCAAGGCATCGCACGAGGACGTCAAATACATCTCCCAAACTGTACTGTTAAACTCTACTAGATTTTATATACTGCCAATGTCGTAACATTCTAACTTCACGAATGTTTGATGATTCTAAGCTATGGATTTCCCTGAAGGAAGAAGGAATCACGGTGACGACATGAGAGACAATGGTAGACAGAACACTCATTGAAGGAAGAGTCATTGGACGGTTATTGGAATCTGGCGACGTTTCGATACGCAGGCTCTGGACTGGTCCTGGCATTCAGGCCGTACGCGTACATGCAACGCGATGGGGTCTCATGGTGACTCTTTCAGTACTGGGAGTGAGAGACATTCTGAAACGGACTCAAATTCTTGGTGGAAGTACGTGAGCCGGTCTTTATAAGCGCAGCTCATAAAGCGATGCGTGAAGAGACAATGAGACCTGGATGTGGAAAGATGATGGAAACTGAATCAGCATAACCCAGATTCATTTTATACGACAGCCAAATAGACAGGCAGCAGGCAGGCAGGCAGACTACGATAGCTCGCGGCGCCAGGAATTGGTCAGCATGAGGTACGAGCTCATCTGATCTATAGACGAATCATACGACCATCGAGAAGTTGGTCTCGTCAGTCAGTCGTTGGATACATGTCGAATGCAGAATACATTTCGTACTCGCTGCATCCGGCCGTGCCAGTGATGATATCACATCACGTTTTTCCAGAAGTTCGTACGTTCGGTACTGACACTGATGCTGGAGAGGATGTTGGGCCTCGACGTAACAAAGCATGAACTGTCTCAAGAATCATGATCAATTCTAACCCTCCTGATCTGGGGAAAATAAGAAAAAATCCTCACGGAATCCCGACAAACGTGGGCTTCGAGGTGCTGTCGGTGAACTTCACAGCAGCAGGAGGCAGCTTGGAATTGCAGGAAGGAGGTGGGAGGGAGATGCGACTGCTGAACACAGTGGACACTTGTGGAGCACTATTGTATTCACGCAACTTCCTACTGTATTGTTCTGCACACGAGTCCACATCCAACGTCAATACGGTATTGATACAACATTCTCTCCTGCCAACTGTGACTCTCATTTGCTGGCATAACCCGTCCATTGCACGTACAGTACAGTAAGTGTGACATTAAATTTCCTAGACACACCGATGCAAGTCTTCAGACAAAAGTCAGAGGTAAATCTCATTGTAGCCACTGACGTAGGATGCATGTGCGCTGACTCAATACAGGCGGCTGATCACAAGGACGACTCACCAAGGCTTCTTTTGAAACGTGGATATAACACACTCCCCCTGTAACCGAAAGCGATTGCCACACACGGTCCCACATGGACAGGAACGGTCAATAACAAATTCGCATGGAATCATGCACGCTGCGACGACTTGACTGGTATAAGGTTTCGGTCGAACGTAGTGATTGAAGCCCTGCTTTTCGATCATCAAGTCAGTCGTGCAGCATGTACTGTAGAGGTACGCCTGGACGTACACATGCATAGTTGGGATTCTCTCGTTCCTCGCCTTCACACGCCTGCTTTTAGAGCTTTAGTACCTGTTTGCACACATAGCGAGCATATCGTTCAGTAGCTATTCCAAACCCCAGAATTTAAACATCGATATCTCTGTCTAGGTACAACAAGTCTTGTGTTAAGTTCTCTGCAGGGATGTGGCGAAGAAGCATCCGTATTGTCCGGAAATGTTCATGAAGATGCTGCTTTGTTATCTCTTCTTGGGTGGGAGCTAAGCCATGTTACGTCAATTTGTATTCAGAATCATGTTTGCCTTCAAGTCCCTTCATTGCAGTTATCACATTCAAACTGGTAGGTTACAAAAAATTTCAGGTTTCGTCATCCGCCTGTCGATCTGAAAGGACTTCGGAACAGACAACTTGCACCAACGTAAGAGGAGGCATGGAATGAACATTCAACATTAACATTGTGGAGACTACCAAAACTAACTCGGAGAGGTAGTTCTATTTACAAACAAAATATTCTTGCCAAGCATGTTTGTTGCCACCATCACCTCCGCTTGCCTGTAATCCTTTGAATGGTGAGGGGTTTTAACAATATTGCTCTTTCAGTTTTTACCTAGTGAACAAAATTTAAGTAGGTTTGTAACCACTATGAGACCGAGGACCCTCCACTGGACTACAGAACACCGTCCAGTCATCAAGACTCATGTGTCACCTTTGCTTGGTATACATTCAAGATGTAAATTAGCTTCGAAAAGGTCCTCCGCAGACAAGACGGAGAAGAAGCAAGGCAGAATTCTTGAAAACGTATCAAGAAGTCTGCCTTGCAACAATTCTCTTTCCTGAGGCATACAGCAGTTCGTGGAAGATTCGGGTTCGTGCACTTCGCAAGCACATCTAGACTTGTGCAAGTCAAGCAGCAGTACTCAATTTAAGGCCTGGATAAAACTGGCTCCGATTATCCACTTTCCTCACATGGAGATCCGATCTGCATGGTGAAAATCTCACCTCCACGCTGTTTGATGGGCGTTACAACACGCGACCCGATGCTTCTCTTGAGTTGGAATACACACTCGTGTCTACTGTGGTCCCACCAGACAGCGAGAGCGCATTTGCCGCCTCCGGCTCTTCAGCCATGTCTCTACAGGTCTTTGCTTTCAGCTTGATTTCTTCAGAGTTGTTCAGAGTTCCCCATATCATAATGTAGAGGTCTGTTGCGTCTTCATTTAAGCGTAAGATAGAAGTCTTCGAAAATAAACGTACACATATGACGTAACTTGTCCAAATTTACCACGCCCCGGATGAGATGGAATAGAGCTGTATTCATAATACTGGCTTTCGACCAATATTTCGAATGGAGTTCAACAGCAGTTTAGAAAAAGACGCCCACAGTCTCTGTCCAAATTTGTTACGACGTCGTATTGAACAGTACGTTGCGTCATCTAAAGTGCGGCTAGCTCTTCAAATCTGAAGAGATAACCAATTCCGAGGCATCTCCATATCGTATACCTGACTTCCGTCTTCAGAGTTCACTGTGAAATATTCAAAATATTACACTTGTTCACACATAAAAGAGTATTGACGCTCAAATTTACAGGACTGGCAACCTTTCATGCATGTATAAGCAAAAAGACAAAACTCATTCACACACATCCGGACAGAATTAAAGTGGACCTGTATAGAGCCGGTATTCATCGTTTGCCTACTGAACTCAAATCCACTAAGTGGCGCATCGTTGGTCGGCCATGAGGACAATTCCAAGGAGAATCCAACTCTGCTAGATGTAACAAAATCTGTAAACAGGCGAGAGTTAGAGAATGAGTAAGAGAATTTATGTAAGTCCAAAAATGAACGGCTCGTTGAAGAAAGAAACCGAAATGGCATCTTGTCACGAAAGGCATGGGAAAAGAAGCTGATCATGGAAAGTTGAAGAGTAAATTCACTAACCCGCTCCATTTCTTTCCTGCTGAGAGAATCACCAATCATGATGGATGATCTGCAGGCTCGTGAGGCCAGCATTGCCCTTACCCGCGAAGGTCGCGGTAACCATTTAAGTGGCATTGTTTGTCCCAAACTATCATCATCAGCATTACCTGACGCTCCACTTAGACCAGGGCAAGGCTTGAATGACATAACTGGCTCTTCGGCAAGAAGTGAAATTAGCTCCTGAACATCTGGCAAGGATGAAAACAACAGCAATCAATCGACAAGGCAGTTGAATAAGGAGCACCAAACTCTGATCTCAAGGTAAAACGTACGAAACACTGAACGATGCCCTTAGTCTTAGGTACTTTTTTAATTTCCAGTTTTCATTTTTGAGTTTCCCTTTAGTCAATTTGTTCACCACCTTTCAAGATACCCATCTCCCTGCCTGTGAGAACATGTAGCCGAAGTTCTCCTAACACAAAACAAAGAAGCAAAAAACCTTTCGGGCTAAACCTTCCATAGTGAGCTAATTGTTTGACGGCTTGGAAAGACAAAACACTGTACCTCCAATACCGAAAGTGACATTCTGACTAAACGGCACTGCTGACAACCGCAGCCTCTGACCAGTTGGCGCATCTTCAACTTCTAAAAAGTCAAAACCGTTTTTCCTGGAAAGCACATAAATATTTGTTTCAACAGGACAAGTTATCGCACGCTACAATCTGCTTCAAGGAAATACAGTTGGGAATACAAGGGCAGATTGAGTTCAGCTAACACGATTCATGCGGTAAAACTCCATTCGAACATCTACTCTTATACCTGACCTTAATCATATTTACAAAAATCCACACAGCAGAAAATATGAACTTCATAAATCAAATGAACGTCATAAACGCTCGAGTACCTAAAAGGGAGAACCAAATTTTGTAGACATAAAAACAGAAAAAAAAATATAGAGGCAAAAAAGGACCTGAATATCTCCATGTGTGTCGTTACGATGATTTCATCCGCTGCAGATAGCTCCATGGGTAGTGGCCTATCTAGAACCAGGTGTCATTAGACATTGTTTTTTTCTTGTAGACTGATCAGGACTGAAAAGAAGTTCAAAACAAGAGCTCTGTAACAACTGAAAAGTGAAATTATAAGCTGCAACATATTCTTTTAACTTCTATATTTTACACACCTGAGAAGAGGCTGCCGGTTTAGCACGGTATTCTTTGTTAGTCGCTCGAAATTGTACTTCTCATCCGAGGCATGCTGCAAGGCGAGAGAGGCATCGATACTAAGGTTGAAAGGAGTACACACAAACTCTCGGAATAACCGAGACACCGGAATCTAACAAATACATCTGATAGCAGCTAGATATACTTCACCTATTCTATAAAACAGAAACAGAAACAGAAACAGAGATCCGAGATACAAACCTGATCAACAATGAAGATGTTTCCATCTATCTTGGCCAATATGAAGCCCAAGTTGAACTGTCCCAACACCTGCCTCAAAGCTTCTTAGTGAGTTTATGTATCTTCAACAAATAGAACCCGGTATGTCTGTGACCAACATAACTGTAGGTATACCTTAAAAACCTACACAATTTTATATCAAGTGAGACAACAATGCATGGCAAGACATCTGATCGCCAAATATTGGTGTTCAAGAAAGTTCTACCTGCATGCGCTTGAAGTCCGCTTTGTTAAAACTTCGTTCAAGCTCGGATGTAGCCGCTGCTAATAATGCTTCTTTCTCTCTACCTTCATTTTGGACGCCGCAAGAGGCCAATGTTGCAGCATTGAAACAACTGCTTGCAGAGAAGATGAAGAAATTTCAATTTACAACCAGTAAGATCCAAAACAGAGGATGCGGTGAGTCAAACATAAGGGTAGTTCATGGAAAGTTTGAGCTCCTGAGACTGAGCAACTTCTAGTTCCAGGCTTACTGCATCTGCCCTCACCTGGTCGTCTTTGGTAGCTCTTGTCTTACAGTCATATCCTTCTTGATATTTCGAAGAAGTAAACTTTGCTCGAAGTTTTTACGCAGATTTTCTATGTTGAACGGGACGGTTAAGATTGAACCAGACGGTTCCACCTCTTCTTCATGATCTGGGACATTGTTTCCGCCCTCGGCTTCCATAGCGCATTCGGATAGTATGCGCGTCGAAGTTTTGCTGCATTCAGGTTCTCCTTCGTGACAATTATGAGTGTTATTTTCTGTTTCCACATCTGATCCTAATAATATTGCCGCCACCAATTCATCCTTCTGCTGATCTGCCTTGCTACCTGTGACACGACTATTTGAAGGCCTAGATAATAATCTTGATCCTGCTAACATATTCCTCATGTCTGCCAACCCTTTGGCTACAAGGTCGATATTTGCAGTCGCCGAATGTTTGCGCGAGTCAGACTTAGAAGGCGCGGTGATCGCTGAAACTCGGGGATGGATATCTTCATAATTTGTCGTCTTCAAAGACATATGTTTTCCAGATTTAGGTTCTGAGCCAGGTCCTGGAGTGTCGCGAGGCCCTTCCCTGTGGTTATTTTCATCAAGTTCAGGCCTGGAAGACTCTTCCACGTCATCGTCGATGGAAAGCTTCGCTTTCGTACTGTAGTCTTTGGGGAGCATTATGGGGAATTCTGATGTTGTTTTCCCTCGTCTCTGCAGATGGATGAATTTCATAATGTCAAATGAAATATCTCCCGAAATGTTTTAAAGTTACTGCTGAAAAAAAACTCATATATATAAGGTGGTGTGGCAAAGTGCACGAACCTTTGTGCTAGTTACAGGCACACTGCCGATGTCCACGACCCCCGTAGAAGAGAGATTACTCTCTGAAATATGATTTGGATTACTTTGTTTGCGGCGTCTATTCGAGTCCAGCGGAACCTCCTCTATAGAACCGTCGCTATCATGTTCAAAGTCACGGGCGTTCGAGTCCTCCTCGTTCAAAAGCGAATTGGTTCTTCTACCTGTTGCATCTCCTTTAGCCCACTTCTTCAAAAGAGGCAGTTCACTCGACACAAGTTCGCTAGCGACAGGATCTCGTTTCCTTTTAGATGTGCAAGCAGTTAGTGTTGTTTGAACTTTTCTAGTTGTCTGTGCTACCGAGAGATTCCCTCTGGAACACACAGCACTTGCTCCAACTTCCGATAGCTTCTTGTTCAAATCGGATGAAGATTTGCGTTGGAAAGAAAGAATGTCAACCGGGGATCTACGCGAGGAACTCGTGTTCCCTTTTTGGTTTCCTTCCTTCAAACGACTGGCAGAGTTTTCCTCGTTTCCTTCCTCCTCATCAGCGTCCGAGGAACTCCCGCCAACATTTGACTCCTGATAAGCACATCCCTGTCCACTTGCGGCCATGGTTAACTTCGATGTAGAGACAACACGTTCGGAGAATGTTACATCATCCAGCTTATTCACAGAGTACGTGTACTTATTAGGAGAATAAACTTTCTCCAAAGCCTCTCTTAATGCCAGCATGAGTTCACCTTCTGAATGCAGAAAAACCTTGCGCTTGTCAGGTGTAACATTCACATCGTACGATGTGGTTGGAAGAATGAAGTTGAGCACCAGCATCGGATACTGCAGAGAGTTGAATGATCTGTACAACTCGTTCAGCAATTTGGCGACTTTGGGCATGTCCACGGGTCGACCGTTTACGTAAAAAAACTGGCGATCTCCCGAAGCACGACCACACCCCGCACCCGGTTTGGACACAAACCCTTCGACGTAGCAGTTTTCGGATACAGAGAGATCCAGCCACTCCATGGAAGCAGCTGTCTTGGTTCCGAATATGGTCACGATATTATCCTTTATGCATGCGTTGCCCTGCGTTTGTACAACCGTGGTTCGCCCGCCCCGACCTGCTTGGTTGCTGCATAGAAGCTTGATACCTCTTCCTATCAAAGCATAAGCCTGAAAGATGCAATCTTCATCTTAGAGAGCCCGACCGTCGTCACTTTGCAGCAGTAAAAGAAGCACAATTCAACAATTTGGCATGCAGAAAATGAATGGCTCAAATTCTTTACAATTCATTACTGTGGTGCAGATCGTTCATGTATCCACCGGCGGATCAGGAAGGAGGTTTACTTGCAAGATTGTCAAGAGGCGACCGTACTCTCGCCTGATGTTGCGATTGAATTCCTTGTGCCGGACCGGCAGAGTTGCAAAAAGCTTCGAGACTGAGACGGTGGTACCGATAGCACGGGCCAGCTTCTCCTGTGACACAATAACCCCGGAGTGATCGTACACCAGGCGAGTGGCAATTGCTTCATCTTTGGTTCTGGTGACGATGCTCACGTCCGCCAATGCACACAGAGAGCTGAGAGCTTCGCCACGGAATCCAAACGAGGACAGCGACTGCAGATCAGCGAACTCCGATATCTTGGAAGTGTGGTATTTCAGAGTCAAACCCTGCAAAATCACGGGGATAATCATCATCCACGCGAGCCCAAAATGCTCTCGCCTATCGCACTTACATATCACTCACACCTCAGACACTGCAGGAAACGAACCGTGCACCTAGATCGAATCGACACCGAAACGAGAAGACCCGGAGATTGTTACTGCAGTTGGCGGATATCGAGAAGGTCCAGATTGACCAGGGCGATCAAGCCCTACTTTTCAACCCCCAAAGAGTGAGCTGCAAATGGAGAGTTCGGAGTGACGGCAACTCAATTCGATCCCCGAGCTACGGAATGCAATCGCGCAATTCAGAAGGCAAATCTCTCATCACTACCGACACTAGAGGCAACAGAAGAGGCATCTGGCTTGCGCCTGTGAGAGAAGGCTCTTGCACTTCTTGTCGAATTCTCTCGGAAGTACCAATCGTAGGCTGGAGACGGCAATCCGGTGAAAAGCCAAGATTGACAATGACCACAATTAAGGCTCGAGGGATCGAAGGAAAATCATCAGCCAGACCGACCTGATAATTGTCGCTAGAAACCCCTGATCCGTTGTCAGCGACTTCGATGAGCTCTGCTCCGTAATCTTTGAGGCGGATCTCAATGCTGGTCGAACCCGCGTCCAGACTGTTCTCCACCAGCTCCTTGACTGCCGTGGCCAGGTCGAGAACCACCTGACCCGAGCAAATTCGATGAATCGCCGCCTTGTCGATCGGTTTGATCGACTTTCCCGCCATTATCAATCACAACGATCAGGTGGCGCATGCTAAAACACTCACCTCTTGCACAATCCTATCGTGCACACTAGGTGTAAAGCACTCCATCCATCCACCCATCCATCCATCATCTCACAAGCTTCTCTTTCAGCTCCAGTAGCACTAAACCTTCAAAACTGGAGCACACAGCGCGACAATCCAACAACAACCTTCGATGAGCAGGTGCCACTTGAGACACAAATTCCGGGCCGACAGGAAGAGCCGAGCGATTGTACGAACGTCCGGAAGAAAAAGGGAGAGAGGTGAAAGAGGGCGTAATCATCCCAAGCCCTTGCCGGAATTCCCCTCTCAAGACCCAAGGCTCGAGGGTCGATCAAGATTCCCAGCAACCCACAAAGCTTTCATCCGTCTTCCACGCACAGGAGCACGACAACAACTTCAATCCATTGGACTCCACATCATAATTCCGAATCTAAAAAGGGTGATCTTCATAATTAGTAAAAAGGCGGGAACTGAAGGTGTGGAAAGGCTATGGGGGAAGAAGAGCAGCAAGAGAAGGGTAGAATTGGGGATTAATTCTTCATTCGAACCGAGTTCTTGCATCTCTTGCTTGCAAACGAGAGGGGGAGGGCGGAGCCTCCAAGCTCGTGTTCCGCTCGTTTGCTTGTCTGTATTCACGGCGAGTCTAATGTCCACGAGCGTGAGTGAGTGAGTGAGCGAGTGACCCACGAGCGACTTCTAGTGACTAGTCTACTACACCCACGACCGGATGAATGCTCGACCCTCCCTTCCTCGAGAAAACACTTGAAAGGCGACAAAAGTTGATACTGGCGCTTTTCGGGGCGAGCCAGCCATTTGCAACATGGGGATGAATAAGCAGCTCAGTGCACAACATGAGGCCCTTTCCCTTTTGGGCCACATCTCTCGTGTGGCCCCTTTCATCGCCTTGGGAAAGAAAGCGGAACGAGGCTAAAAGAATGCCTCGAAAATCTTCAGGCCATCAGAGTTTTGCCAAATGGAGAAAATATCGCGCACGCAGACTCTCGGCGGATGATTCCCACTTTCGAAAAGTGGTAAAAGGCGACAGGGTTGGTGGGTGCATCTCGAGACCAGAATAGACGATAGCGCAGAAAGAAAAAGAGAAAGATGAGCTCCACGATCCCAATCTAGACTCTCTCTCTCTCTCTCTCTCTCTCTCTCTTCCCTCCATCTCTCTTCTCTCTCGTCTCGTGTGGTGTGTGGTGTGCGGTGTGCCCGCGACACGACTCTAGATCTACGACGACGAGGAACACCATCGAGCGCAATAATAATAAAAGGGCGCGCTTGTCCTAGTTGCGCATTGCGAAGAAGCTCCGGCCTCGTCGTCGCATCGGAGACTTACGCCGCGACGTAGGTTTTCTGAGCCAGATTTTCTAGACTTTTGCATCGCCTCCGATGGCAGCACCAGCAGCTGTAGGCGATCGAGAGCCGAGGCCTACGTCGAGGTCAGGTGAGGGGCGGGAGGGGGGTGGGGGTGGGGGAGGCGCGGGGAGGGGGTAGGGGGTGGGGCTCGGGGTGGGACGAGGTGGGGGTAAGCGGAAGCGAGCTTCTTCTAAGAAATACGAGGTTCGAACATGATTGCGCGGATGAATGAACGGATGTCATGCGGTACAAAGAGGGGATGTCATCATGCTCCGTGCCTACAGTTTGCCTCTTTTCGTAACATCTTTACGATCTAATCATTAGCTTCATTCTTTTCTTTTCATAGATTTATGCAATCTAATGTGTGTCGCTTCGTGTAAAGATGGACATTCTTGTTGTTTATCGAAAAGCTGTGATTCTTGAATATACCACAACTGCACTTGGATAGATAAGAAGAGCGCAGTAAGACAATAATATCAAGCCGCTTTGCCTCTGTACCCAATCGGGACACGTCTCAGCGCGAGGGACAGATCTCTTTTGGGCACGCCCCTTTTTGACCCCCGTCTCTCGCTAAGCACCAGGCAAGCCTACTCTTCTCCTCCTCCTCCTTCTTCTTCTTCTGGCACCGTCACTACATGATGTCTTTTACATGTAAGACATCGCTTAGTTGCATGAAGCAGATCTGATTATTTTTATTCACGTAGCACCGCGGCCATAGGTGCACGAACTAGTTGAGCTATTGAGCTTTGCAGGAAATTATCCTCGTCGTTGGAGCGGTTTCGGTTGAATTTCTCTCTTCTTACTATAGTTGGCAACGTCATTTCGTAGTGTTTTTTGGGTTTGTACGATGTGGCATCAGGAACTCCATGTGTATATTTATATTCCCTTCTCCTAAACCTGTAATACCTGGAACTGAGTATAAAATACATTTTTTTATGCTTCATCATCTTTGTCTCATGAAGCTTAGTATGACCTCCTTCTGTAGTGATAATCTGTAAAGTCTTATCTACAACCCCTTCACAATCATTGTTTTTTCTATTGTACCTTTTTCTCAGACAACGAACTGTTGAATCCAGTTGGGAATCAACTGTTGATTCCCAACTGGCTTCAACAGTTCGTTGATTACACGTACTTAGTTCTTGGAATTGAAGTGCCTTCAGATAAAATCATCATTTTACGATGAGCGGATACTTGTTCTTTATGTATATCTTGATAAGCTCTCAAAGAAATGAAAAAATCGATCAAATCATGTATTCAAGAAATGGAACCTTGCATAGAAAAATTATTCAGGAGATTCATTTCTAATATTACTACTCTCAGCTTTGATTGCATAGTCATTTATTGCATACTACAACCAAAATAAATGTTGAAGGAAGTTGGCACTATGAGTATTCAGTGTCTCGGCTCATCAATAATGTGTAAATTGTTCATCAATCTCACTACAAGATCAAGATAAAAGTTTGGAATTTTTTGTTCAACATTGTATATATCAGATCGAAATGACTTTTTTTGTTCATACCTAAAAATTGAAGTGATTAATTAATCAAAGTAATGCACTTCTCCACTTCTATGTTCGTTTGACGATAATCAAAAACAATATGTGTTTTTAAAAAATTTCCCAAGGTCTTCAGAGAGTGAATACTTTGACTTGTCTAGCTTTCATTCATTTTGAAATCCGAAAGCCAGACAATACTAATTCAAAAATTCTTGGACGTGTTTGTTATAAACTACATGATGTCGTGCGAATAAATATCGCCAAACACTCAACATCGCTGACATGCTACTCACATACACACATAGGACACGGAACCATACATATTTAAATGTACCACAACTAAGAGCGCTGAGTTCTTTGAGTGAAATTAATTGTGTTTACCCCACAGGCAAACACGTCAATCTTAATTACCCCACTAGCAACCACGATTGTCACACAAGCATAAGTCAATCCCAATCCATTCGTCTTGAGAACCCAGGTTAATGCTTCTGGCATTCACTAGTCTCAATGCTACATGCTCGATTCGAATAACTGAACTCTCCTCGAGTCCTAGTTGAACCTATACCCTTTGAACAGTAACCATATGCCGATAGCTAAATACAGTACATACGTGATTACATGACAATGAATATAATAACTCGAATCCACATCAGCTTCAAAACTGAGAGATACGAAAATGTTGAAACCATCATGATCAGTTAAGAGGTTTCTAAAACTTGTACAAGCCATAACCAAATTTATAAGTCAAGCTATAAGACGATCATCAAGGAGCATTGAGGTTCTAGAAGTTTAGTAGGGTTTAGAGTTGACGAGGTCTCACAAACATCAAAAGCAAAAAATCAGTCTCTCTTGTCTCTAATATATAACGATGTCTAGGCACAGATTTGGGCTACTTCATCCTAAATGAAGTGTTCCAGATTTATGAGAGATTAAACCGTCGAAATGAAAAGCCACGGTTGAGGCCGTGGGGATTTCCCGTTACCCCTTTTCATCTTTACTCTCACCGTAGCACCAGATTCTATTTTCATTTTTAATTCTTATTTTCTTATCCTAAAAAATCAAATCGATTCCATCAATATATACCTATCTGGCCTCATTGTAAGATATGATGATAGACACCTGTCGCCAACCGAAGTCGTGCGTTTACGAGGCTCAAGCTTTCCCTCATCCTCATTTGCATGGAGCGTCGAAAACTGACGAGACGAATTCGAAGAGCGAGAGGGCTCTGGAACTATTTCTGTGGAGCACCTCGCGTCGTGCATGTCATGTCCTCAGGCCTGGCCGGACAGGATGAGGCAGGCACATGTACGGGAAGCGAACATCGTACAGTATGAGTACATGGGTGGAGTGGGGGTACAGTACGGATACGGGTGGCCATCATCGATGAAGTTGTGGCTACGGGCTTGGGCTTGGGCTTGGTTGGGAATCACGCCGAGGGGGTGAGATTCCGGAAAGAATGATCGGAATTCTGCCATGCGAATAAACCCTTGAGCAACGAAGCGCTCCGGACAGTAATGGGACTCAGCGATGGCATAAGCGGACAAAGGCTCGAACGAAGCGCTGGCTCGAGGTGGTGTCGCTTAGCCCGCGCAGCTTATATCATGCATGATTTGGGGGCGAGGATTAAATGAACGCGGTGGGAATTCGGGAAAGCGAGCAAAGCGAGGAGCTGAGGCCCGTAGCTCCTACGAGTACAGTGTAAGATTTGCCCGCAGATTTGATGTTCTGGGCCGATTTGCTACAATGCTACTACCTACTACCGAGCCCAGCCGAGCCGAGCCGGGGGGTAGAATGCAGGCAGGCCGGGCGTAGTATTCTACGGGGAAGGGTGACAGAAAACACTCGCAGGCAGAGGCAGAGAGCGATGTGGCGTAATTGCGCTTCTCGAGGTTTTGCGTCTTACTGCAGATCTGATCCTCGGAGGGTGTGTGTTTCTCCAGGCCCAGGAACTCTTGCTCCTGTTCTGGATCGATGACTATGCGACCGCCGTCCTGGCCTAGGCCGCAGAGGAGATATTTAAGCAGGTGCCTGCTGAGAAGCAACAGCGAGGGGAGAAGGGAAGTGGTGGGGGGAGGAAGTGTCACTTCACAAGGAACCCGTTGTTGTCTGTTGAAACAGGACAGACCATCGAAGAAACAGATGCAGAGACTGCAGTGGGCACTGGGCTCTGGGCTCTGGGGACTGGACTGAACTGCCCCGAGTCCAATGTACCGCCGCGCTCTGGTGCAATTTGACACTGTTGGCTAACCACTACATTCCGATCCTGGACCTGGACCTGAACCTGAACCTTAACCTGGCAAGGCAAGGCAATGTCAATGACAATGACAGCACCGAAAGTTGACGATCGAAGGAAGATGGTTTGACTTGAGTACTTTTGGAACCTATTCATTAATTTCATCATCAGCTGTCCACCCGTGTGTGACACTGTATACCATCCGAGCAACCGCTATTGCAGAATCCACTCGTCCTGTGGCCACTCCACTGAATTCTCCAGCCAGTCGTTTCGTAGTCATCCCTCGTCGTCGCGCTGCAGCGTCAGACGCTCTTGCGGGCACTCGAGCGAGCGACCGCGAGCTCAGAAGCCCAAGGACGCCCCAAGACGTCCGTCCATGATGACACCATGATGTGTGCGCATGACGAATCCTGAACCCCCTCTCTCTCTCTCTCTCTCTCTCTCTCTCTTCTGAATAAAGCGCTGCCCTTGGTATCAGAACAGACCTCGGCCGCCATCTCCGATCATCGGTTCTCGAACTCCAAGCCTGCCTGCGGCAGCATCAGCAGCAGGAGGAGGACGAGGAGGCAACCAACCAACCAACCGACTAACCAACCAACCAACCAACTAACTCCTGCTCTCACAGAGAACCGTCACAACTTCCAGCGAACGAGAATGCGTCTTATGAAATGAGGTGAAGTGAAGTGAAGTGAAACGAAGCGAAGCGAACGAAACCCAACCCCCAAACCAACCCAACCGCTCGAGAGTCGAGAGTCGAGAGCCGAGAGCTGAGTTGCTCCCGTCCCCCGTCCCGCCGCCCCATCTAGTCTATCGAATGAATCTGCGCCTCACCTCGTCCTCTGCCCCCATCCCGTCGCCCATGGAGCTGGGACCACGAGCTTTTGCCATTCGGCGCTATACAGCGAGTCTCTAGTCTTGACGCCCGCTTATATAGCCGCCCGCGGGAGCGTGCGCGGGTCCTCGAGGAGCAGCAGCTCAGAGGAGCCAAGAGGGTGACGTTGGCCCCCGGGTTTCGGGAACGAAGGGGAGCGCGACTGGGGCAGGGGCAGGGGCAGCAGCGGCGTGGTGGTTCTGTAGTGGCGAAGGACGAGTGCAGAGACTAGTAGTGTAGGTAGATAACCGAACATCCTTAGCCCCCAGCAGCAGCAGCAGCAGCAGCAGCCGCTGCGGTAGCGGTAGAGTGCTATAGAGTGTTAGAGTCTTAGAGGTGGTGCAAATCCAAGCTTTCTATGAAGATTTGGCTGCACTGTAGCAGATCACATATTATCGAACGGCCTTTTCGACGAAGTTGAACCACTTCCTGCACCTTTCCGGATCTGATCACAATGCGGATCTGATCACGGTCAGTCGCAAGCTGCACCTTTTTCAGGTTTTCTAGCAGCAGAGCCGAGCCGTGACATGTTCACCGGGCATTGCTCCATCTTCTAGCCTCTGCTAGCGTGCTGGTCCTCGTCGACCTGGCGCGGGGCTCTCCTGGTGTTACCCACCCCCCACCCCGTCCCTCCATTCACTCGCTCGCTCGCTATCTCGTCATGGATCCGAGCATTGGCCCGTAGGCCGACGGTAGGGGGCTCTGGGCAAGAGTCCGAGGCAGCGAGAGTGTCAGAAGCGTCGTCAACATGCGCTAAAGGGATTTGTGTGTGCGAAAGCAAGCGGCCGAGGGGGAATGGATTGGGCTACGGACATAATAGTGTTACTACTACGAGCGATCTTTACCGAGATAGAGACAAAAGTGTCATATGTAGACTAGATAGATAGATAGATAGATAGACAGGTGCGAGGCGCTGGGGGGAAGGGTGGGGGGGGGGGGGGGGGGGGGGCGGGGGGTGGAAACACGAGACGGGGGGGAATATCCGGAACGGGGATGGGTGCTTGTTTTTTACGCTTCCCGAGCACATGTGAGACAGCGCTTGGCGACTAGAATGTGAAGATTCTGGCGTCAATCATTGCCCCGAGTGTCATACTAGAGAACGTTCTTCTGCAGCGGGATATTCCACCGGTATCCAAGCCCCAGGCGAAAGGGATCAAAAGTGCGCCGCTGTCGTACTTGTGCGCCCCCCAGCTGAGAAGGTTCCGTCGTGCTCTTCTTCTTCTTCTTCTGCTTCTGCTTCGAGGGGGCTCGAAAGCTGCGGGGGGGCAGTGGGGCACTGTAGACCACGCTAATTGGCTCGGGAATGATTGGACGAGGGCGATCTTGAGCTTCGCATACTCATGCGCACCCATGTGAAGTCCATGTGTGCTAACTGTATGGATGGCCATTTCATAATTCATAACAGGCCGCAAATAGCAGCAGAACTCATGCATCCGCACATTGCTCTCGCTCTTTCGTACAAAGTGCAACCAGTGACGTACAGCGTCGTTTCCCTCGCCCGCAAAAAAACGCGTTCTGCTGAGAGATGAAACGAGTGTGACACACTCGGTCGTGTTTTATTCCAATGTCTCGAGGCGATACAGGGTGTGTGTGGTGGATGTACAAGTTGTTCTTATTGTCAATTCGGCTTGACACAAATTTAAAAGGTAAACGCCCGTAATTCAATCATTTCAAACCCTTGTCCACAACACCCAAACAAAACCTATGCACATAATCTTTTTGAGGAGAGTGAGGCTGGGCGCAGATTGAATGGGTACACGGCCAAAAACTCAAATATACTATCTACTCATCGCGGTGTCAGCAGTTCACTGCGGCGTTGAAGCCCAAGTTCTCCATCGCCCGCATCTCCCCGTGCATGTCCACCTCCCAGCTCCCTCGGGCCACAATGCGCTCGTGCGTGGGCTCGTATTCCTGCAGATAACGAGGTCATGATTGCGTCAGTTTTCCTGCGGTCGAGCCGAGGCTGCCCTCCATTCGACCACGCCAGAAGCATCGCTCGACAGCGTGCACCTCATAAAAGCGAGCGAGGCATCGATCATGGCATTGCCGTCTCTGCGAGGTCGACATTGGCTACGTCTGACCCAATGAACCTGCCTGGCAGTTTCGGTTTCTGCGTCGAGGACGGGTTCGGAGGACAGCAGGACCCAAGAGTAGAGATGATCACACTTCCCAGAACAAATCAGCGTACAGCACTTTTTACGTTCTACTGCTGGGATTGCCCAAGGACCCGAGGCTGACATTGAGCAACTTCGCATCATGCAATTTCACTCATCTCACAGTTCTGCTGTAGATACCAAACCATCCGAAGGCCAGATCGAGAAATTCCGTACCTCGAACTTCTCGAGGAGCTCACGTGCAGTCGGAGCAGAAAGGAGAATGTTCCTGGCAGAGAGTTTGAGGAAGCCCTCCTCAACAGCTTTGTCGAATAGGGCTAGGAGTGAGTTGTAGTATCCATCTACGTTCAACAACCCTACCTGCGTATGAATAAAGCAAAAAGGGTCAGGATGATATTTAGCCTGTGGGACTTGCTCGATTGGTCCTCGACTGAAGCTACATTTGTCTACGGATCAAACATAAAAAAGTGCGTCTAGTCTACACGCGCACCGCTCCTGACTTTGCAGAGGAAAAATCTCACGAAAGGTTTTGCGAAGGGCAATCCAAGGCAAACGACTCAAAACTGGCAGAAAACGAAACGCAATACTCGAATCCTCAAGGAGTCGAGTGTGCTTGGTGCAACAAAGTGGACCTATATGTGGTACAATACATCCATTGAGTTTCCATCTTCGGTGCATTACCGGTTTGTCGTGAATTCCTAATTGTACCCATGTGATCATTTCAAGCAGCTCCTCCAATGTTCCATACCCACCTACACGACAATAAGAACAGAGGGTTAGATGCAGCGACTTTTGCGTCGAAATCATTGGGCCAAGTTCAAGAGATTTGTATCAATTATTGAAACTATTATTTCAAATGATTCAAATAAAACTTCAATTTAAACATTCCGAAAAAGACAGCAAGAGCTCCAGGAAATCACTGCGAGTGGACCCTTCATTTACAGAAAGCTAACTGCTACTGGTTGATCTGAGAATGGCCGACAAATTATTCCGCCTTCAGCGAATTTGCAAGTCACAAAAAGGTCCAGGATAGGGTTGCAAGACAAATCGCACAGATCTCACTGGTATAAACACTCGAAGAGAAACGGGAAAGAAATCTTCACGAGGCTACAGCATCAGTGACAATGACCCATAAATCCATCACTCGTACTGCAAAAAATTGGATATACCTAGTCGATGGACAGGTCCACCATTACTGTAACGAATCCTTCTAAGACTTGTAATGAAACTTGTATGCAGTTTCGACTGAAAAACACATTACTGTTATGACATGGACCATTCTCTAGAGTTTCACAGTGACAGAGTAGCAAATCAGAGGAAAAGGGAGAAATCTCCCCTCCCATGTCCCATCAAGGACTTTGAAAAACCCACAAGTCAGCCGAAGGCTATTACCTGGAAGCGCTATGAAAGCATCGGCTTGGCGTGCCATTTCAGCTTTACGTTCATGCATGTCAGACACTGCACGCAGTTCTCCTACAGTGTGTCCAGATATCTGCAATGATGCAAGACATTGATCTCCGTGAGCATTTTGATCGGCCAAGTTCCTGCACCAATCTCCTTAAATCTCTAGAAATCTCGAGTGTTCGTACCCTAAAAATATATTATTAAAAAAAGACTGATTCTCGGGAGCTATGAGAACTTGGCATCCGAGCAATCAGATCTGAAAGTCCAAAGAGACGGAAATATTGACAAGTCTTCCCTCGAGCATTCAGAGGTAGAGTTTGCAAATGAAGACTGTCGACATTCGAAATAGATACAGACGAGCAAGCTCAAACAACGCTTCGACCTCTCATACAATGACTCCTCAAGACATTATATTGCAGACCAGTTTAAGTGCACGAAAATTACCTCCTGAGGCATGAGCGCCTTCGGAATAACACTGTTCAAAAAAACAAAACACAACAGAAGGTTAGCAAATCACAAGGTACAGCTATGCCGCTACTATTCCAAATTGCATTCACTTTACACGTGGTTTGTCCGACCCTGGTGTGCGCTACGAAGAAGTCCAAAACCCGGATGCGAATAAATGTACACAATGTAGGACATGAATGGAAAGAGCCGTACTATATCTCAATACGTTGAAACTGCGTCTTAATAGAGGAAATATGCCCGGTCAGTACGAGGGGGAGGGGAGCATTCACAGGTCTCGGATCACGTGTTATCGACTCAGCCTACTGTTTGCTCCTCCTGGCATGTTCCTCCCGAGCTGACCCAGACTTCGAAATTCAAAAAATAAAATGAAAAGGAAACGACTCCGAGCAGTCCGAGAGCTCTGAAGCCCATCTACACCATGCTCGTAAGAATCGGCAGTTCGCCAGAATGAAGCCTCGTTCGAGCTATGGATTACGCGCACTGCAAAATTTCTTCTCATTCTGAACGCTTCCTAGCAATGCACACGTACCCAATGACATGACCGCCTCCGTCGTGGACTGTGTGCGCAATCTGGCCCATCAAACCGACGCTTCCTCCTCCATAAACCAGATCAATTTTGCGCTTCACCTGCAGGATGGCAGAAAGACACATGGCCGTCAGCAACCGCAGCACTCACTCGTTCACAAATCCTCGGCCGCATAGCCGAAGATGACGAAAAGCACGTATCTTTTACGCATGTGCTTTTGGCGGAGCACTTTATCTTATCCCAGCCGTGCGTATCTTCCTTTCGTCCATAAAGTGGGATTTCTAGGCACATAATGTGTGATCCACATGTAATTGCAGAGGCGGGGCGTGGCTACGGACGTCATGCCGCAGGCAAGATTGGAGAGATTGCACATCAAATGCATAACTCCACAGTCCTACTTTACGAGGGACGTCGCACAACCGGCATCACAGAGTTTTAATGCGATGAGGGACCATAAATTCCACCCTACGCTGACTCCTAGGTTTGTGCCAAACGGTAAACTTCCTCCCTTATCCACCGACTGCAAAAGTAAAGAAGGCAAGCTGGATGTTCCATGATTCGAGGCGCATGTGCTGATGATGCGCCGCGGATGCAAGGAAAAACCTCGACGCTGCTAGGGTACAATATCGGTCGCGGTCCTGATTTGCACCCCTGATTGGTTTCCCGGGGCAGACGATGCACACAACTCTAACGAAGCAGCAATGTACCACCCCGAAAATCTGTCCCCGCACGTCCACGCTGACAATCGAGTACTGGCAGACGCGTGAGGGAGGATGACAATCTTCCGACGGACTCGGCGCTACGGCTCGCGCTGGACCCTCACGCGACTCGCGACGGGGCAATTGAAAAGCCCCCTCGCTCATAGGCATACTATTCATGCATAAAGATTGCACCATTATTTTCGCCGGAGAGGCAGCATGCACAAGGGCCGGCAGAAGAGAGGAAAACAACAACGCGCAGGAAGATCAGCGGCCAGTACCATTTCCTTGCCCAGATCCAGAGCTACATTGCGGTACAGTGTCTTCTTCCCATTACTGCTTCCACAGAAGACACAGATTCGTTTGAATCGTGAAGCTCTACGATCCATCTTCGATCCCTTGAACTCCTCCTTCTCAACCATGAAATCTACAGAGACTTGCCGGGGAGGGGTGCTGGTGCACAGGACGCTGGCAGGCAGGCAGGCAGGCACACGCAGGCAGAAGCAGGCAGAAGGCAGCAGACTGAGAGCGAGCGAGAGCGAGAGAAATAGCGAGCGGGAGGCAGGAGTCCCGAACACTGGGAGCAACAGGAGGCGGGAGAAGGAAGGAGCGAGAGAGAGGAGACCGGCCAGCAGGTGAAGCTCGAAAGTCTGTCTGCACTATCCTTCACACCGTCCTACATCTCCTTATATGGCCTCCACCTCCACCACCACCACCACCTCCTCCTCCTCCTCCTCCTCTTCCACCTCTTGTCTTTCCCCTCTCCTTTCCTTTTCCTTCCTCTCTTCCTCTTCCTTCCTTTCTCTTCTCTTCTCTTCTCTTGCTTCTTCTTGTTCTTCCACCCCCCCCCCCCCCCCCCCCCCCCCACCTCTCTCTCTCTCTCTCTCTCTCTCTTCTGATGATGATGATGAGGAGTCCCGCTGCCGCTGGCCGCTGCTGCTGTTGCCTGCTGCCTGTGCCTGCGCCTGTGTTTCGCGTTTCGGTGGCTGCGTTCCCCTGATGTCGTTGCTCAGGGAATGTAACCGGCTGACTGCAACTGATCCGCGGGCTGGATTCCGCTCCCCTGCCCCACCGTGACCCCCGACCCGCGCAACGCAGGCACGCCCTGAGCCAACCGGACACGAACCCCAACCCCCTCTCTCTGTGATTAATTACAGTACTCGCTCCCCCTGCCCCTCTCTACCGTGGTCCTTCCTCCCCCTCTCCTCTGCCTACCTGGCTTCCCGTTCCCGTCATGCCTCCATGAGCTTTGCCTTCTCCGCTCTTCTCTGCTCTCTTTCGTTCGGACCAATTGCTGCAATTGGTCCTAACAGCCGGCGTCCTCCTCTCCCCTCCTCTCTTCCTCATTCTCTCACAGTATTGGCATGCCATGCCATGGCTCGCCTTGGCCCACAGACACAGATTCACCCGGTGCTCGGGGGCTGTGAGCCCCTCACCCCCACCCCACAACCCCAACCCCTCTCTCTTTCTCTCGCCGGCCCTCCTCCCCCGTCCTCTGCTGCCGCGGTGCATGCTCATGGATCGGGACTACAGCGGCGTACTACTGTACGTACGTGTATACATTTTCATACTCTCTACTGTATACTCTATATTCTCTACGTCGTATCCATTAGCTTTAGGCGAAAGCTCCGCAAGGGCGGACCCTGGATAAGAGCCGGGCTAAATCTTACTCTTACTCTTACTCTGATTCTGACGTTGGCTCTTACCCTGGTTAATTACTCGGGTGGAAAGGGCAGACACTTGCCCCTCGTCTAGTGTTAACTGCGGTAGAAGTGAGCCATGGAGATCCGAACGTGCTGGGACGGTAGTGGATTCGGTGACTCGGGCTCGCACAGCACCGCTCACCAGTCAGGCATTGACGAGAGCACACGAATGCATCGAAGCCGGCGTGGGGTGGAGAATTCCAACAACATGCGAGAGCTCGAGTCGTCCGCCATAACCGGAGGGAGGATGCGTGACTGACCGGCTGCTGCTGCTGCATATGGACGAGACGATGCGTCGATGTTAAGGAGGGAGGGAGGCATGGCATGGCATGGCATGGCATGGGATGATGGACTGCTGAGATGTGATGCTCTCTGCGCAGCCAGTAGTCCGGCAGTCAGTCGGCCAGTCGTGAGGACGGAGCTCCTTCCTTCCAGTGTCCCGTAGTGGTGAAGGGCCGGGGGTGGAGTATTCAGGCGACCGAGGGAGGGAGGGTGCGGTTGGTTGGGGGGTGGTGGGGAATGGCTGGATACATCGCTGTCGTCTAGTCTACAAGGTACGAGAGCAGAGGTGAGGATATGAGAAGACGACGAGCAGCGACGACCTGACTCTTTACTGTCTGTCTCGTTCCCTTCTCTCGCTACAACACCACAACACTCCAGTAGTCTCACTAGTACTGCACTGTCCTCAGAGCTTGCAAAAGGGGGAGAGAGAGAGAGAGAAAAAGAGGGAGGACTCGACGACGACTGAAAGAGAGCGAGTTCAGTGAGTTCCGAGCAGCAGCAGCAGCTGCTGCTGCTGTGCGCAGCGAGAGCAGAGAGCACCATTCCCGAGGGCACTTCTACGTGCGAGAAAGACAAAATCTCAACTGATGATACAAGCACGGGACCGACGGGCTCCACTCGAGGATCGCGAGGGGGACCGGTCATCGGTGTGTGCGAGATTAAAAACTTGTGAGCTGTCCCAGTACGGCACCGATGGGTCCCCAGACACACAGGGGGGGGGGGGGGGGGGGCAAGCACGAGAGAGAATGACGGGCCGGGCGATATAAGAGTGGACCAGAGTGGGCGATGGCGGATCGGAAGGCTGGGAAAGGGACGAGGTTTAACCTCGGTTAGGCATTTCATCACGTGGACAAATTGGATGAGCGCATGCCGACCGGGGGTATGTGTGTCGTGAAAGTGGGTAGGAATTTCGTTCTGTTCTCTTCGTGTTCTGGGGGCGGTACTTGTACTCGTACCCCTTCATGAGATCATCATGCTCTCACTCATACGCCGGGTCGTACCCCTCTGGGTTCTGGCTGTCACGACGGAACGCTCGACGCGAGACGAGACTGGACGCCCCGCCCATTCATTGATCCAGTCCGCTTTACCATGCCATCAGTCGCCTGCTGCTGTCGCTGCTGCAGCTGCTGCCGCTGTGCTGCTCCACAGATGAGATGAACATGTAGGAGGGGGAGGGGGAGATAGAAAGAAATTCAGCTCAAATCGATTCGCAAAGTAAAATAATCCCAAAAGCATGGGATCTCAAGTTGTACATGGATGAAACGAAACGGGATCTTTGGCTCGGATCAGTTAACAACCACGTTCTACTATTTTGCTCATCATCCACCTTAACCACCCGCCAGGGCCAGGGCCAATACTCTATAGATGGGATACTATCAGCGTCTTTTCACGAGAGAAAACAGTAGAGCCCCGAGCGCCTTTTTCTTATTCCCTCTGATATTTTCCTCCGCGGTTCTGGAACATATGAGACCAGGGCTAGTACGCAATGATGCTTACTTGTCGGGCAGGTGCATGAATTTATGTAAAGCCTTCCGCAAACAGGCTATGAATGAGGAGCAGCGCATGCGGAACGAACATGGAGATTCCAAATCTAGCTTTGTGTTGTACAGGACACGACTCGCTGCTTCTTACTACTACTGCGTCATTCAGTGTACATCTATCGAATGTTGGTGTCGTTGCATCACTGCCAGACTTCCGAGCCATTCATATATATTTACCTCGACGCTTCTTCAATACCCATTATGTCACTATCCTAGCCTCGTTGACAGCGATGGAACAATTTATGTGTATTCTTGCCCACGCTGAACCACTGCCGAGCGACCCAGTTTTAGTCCCACGAGCCCCTCTAACCTTGACCCACTCCGAATCGATAGACCCTTCAGAGTTTCCTAATCGTTCCTAACCATTCGTTACATATCCATACCCAATTTTTTTTCAAGTAGCACTTTTGAGCTTGTTGTGTGGAGCCATGATTTATAAGCTATCAAACTGTCTCTGAATGTTTGTGTCAAACATCCGAATGCAATAGAGAAATTAGATTATGGAAGAAAGGGGAAACAATGAGAGCTTTTGGTGAGAACTCAGACCCATCCTTAGTCCTCAACACTTTTTATAATATTGGGATAAAATTCGCGTTAAAGTAACAGCCGATCTCTTCCAAGTACATTTTTTACATATTAACATCCACTTTGTTCAAGGAAACGTCCACTTTTCAAAGTCTAGAATCTTAAAGTAAAAATAATAATAAAGTATGATTATTTTAATCTTAAATATTTCCAACTCTCCATATACATGATATACCTTATGATATGTGTAAACTTATCATTGTCTGAAAATTTTGGAAAAAAAATGGAAAAATTCCGTCAACTGATTATGGAGAAAATAAATACATTTATCGGGACATGTTTCAAATATGCAATTTCTTCTATATCTAGAACATTTATAACCTTTTTTATTTTTATTCTGTCCGAAAATTATTGATATGTAAAATACATCTTCTTCCTTTATTTCTTTACTCTTTGGTGCTCAACCTGGGTAATAAAAAGAAATCCATGATCTTATTAAAATAAAAGGATAAGTGTCAGGAGATAAATAAAATATGTACACTAGAATAGAGGAGAGTATCTCGACATAGGGATCCATCTTCTCTTTCGTTTTAGACCAGGTTTGACCTGATAGTCACCATCTATGAAAAATATTGCATTTTTTGATAGTCACTCATTAATGTACCTTTGATTCTATGGTACTTTAGTTTATTCCACTGACAGTTTTACTCGCCCATGGTGGAGCAGTAGGTGTGAATTTCTTGACGAACTTTCTATGCTTGTGTGAATATTTATTGTTTTCGACCGATATATTTACTATAGTACAACTGATCGTTTAAGTTGAACGAGTGAACCACTCCTCAACTAAATTTCGAAAGAAGACTGTGCATATTATTTACTAGAGGTCACACAATGCGAATTTCTTATGCGGTATTCGTGGAAAAGACACAAAATGTTTGAGCAACTCATTTGCACATGGCATAGTCATATATAATGTAGGGAAACGTGGAGGGGTTGAACTTTTCATCTCAAAGACGGAGGATATTCCAAGAGTTTCAAGGTTATGATCTCAAGGTTAGTTGTGCACTTGAAAGGGCTAAGTTATGAGGATTTAATTTTAAGGAAAGAGCAATGGATGGGTCTAGGTGATACCTAAGAAAACGTTCTTGAAACGATTCCTTAAAAGATTATCTTTTTTTGACATTTTACGCCCCTAGACGATCCTCTATGGAGTATAGAGCATCGCATTACGAGTGATGTCAAATTGTCTATGTGACATGAAGTAATTTTCTCCTCAAAGGCTCGGCAAAAGATTACCAAAAGTGACTAAATAAGACAAAGTAGGAGAAGAAAATTTGTTCATATAAATGATGAACATGAGGATTTAAATCTTTGGTTCAGTTTGATCTACTTAACATTATACAGCCAGAATACAATTCGATTGGCGACTGGAAATGAAAATTTGAGCAAATTTTGTTCAAAGTTCTGGTTGAGTGTAATTTTAAGTTTATAAGTTTTTGATACATACTACACATAATTCAGTGTCATGTCCAGAGTATATATATATATATATATTGTAAATGTTTCGAAATGACAATATAATAAATAAATTTGTAATAAGCTATTCCAATCCCCAAGATCACCTCGTCGATATCCAGTTGATTTACAAGAAGCAAACGGATCGCATGCACTGGGGTGTGATTTATAAATAATCGCGTAGGTAAGACAGATGATGATTAAACAGATAATCCAGAGAAAATCGAATTGATAAGTCGTATACGCAAAAGAAGGAGATTTGGAGGGAAAGAAAAAAGAATGTAA